TCTTTAGCTCACCATCTGCCTTCTCCACTCTGTTAGAAGAAGTCAAGAAAGACTACCTGGTCACTCTACAAACTCGCGTTACCTAATCTCAAGTGGAACTTCCCTTGGTCAAGGCCACTCTTTGCTTCTCTCGTCTGTATCTTATTCCCCTCAGCAATGGTCCTTGAACCTCCTCTTTCTTCAAGATCCCTGAGTTGCCCTCATTCCTTTCTAGGTACTCACCCATTCTCCTACTTTACACCAATCTCAAAGAATGACATGCCCTTCCTCCTTGCCAAGGACTATCTGCTAATCTTTGCCCTTAAATTCCATCTCTCCCATCTCATTCCTACCCTTTCTCCGTCAATGATTCCCTCCCACTGTCTCCCCTCTCTCTCATTTTCATGTCCTCTGTGCAAATTCCTAGAGCATGCCTAAATCTCCTTCGCCTTTGAAAAGTCTTCACCTCACTCTGCCATCCCCTCTACATACCACGCCATACCTCTCCTCCCTTTTGCTGTCAGGCTCCTAGAAAGAACCATCCGCTGTTCCCAAGCCCCTTTGAAATCAGGCTTCTGACGGAACTTCCGTCTTTGAAGTCACCGACGATCTCTTAACAATTGTTTGCCGCCGTCTTGGAGAATGCACAGTCCAAAGTTTAGCTGAAGAGAGAGGTCCTTCAGAGCCTCCCCTCTGTGGATGAGACGGTATTCATTGTACTAATTGCTGGGACACCACAGAAGCGCCTTCAGCCTGATCAATCACTTTGAAAGGTTCAGTCTAACTATCATCCACACAGGAAAAACAAGCTGAAGGGGCAGCTAGATGGCACAGTGGATAGCACTCCAGCCTTGGAGTCAGGGGGACCTGAGTTCAAATCTAGCTTCAGATACTGACTAGCTGTGTGACTCTGGGCAAGTCACTTAGCCCTATTTTACTCAATTTCCTCACCTGTAAAATGAGCTGGAGAAGGAAATGACAAACCATTCCATCATCTTTGCCAAGAAGATCCCAAATGGGATCACAAAGAGTCGGATAAGACTGAACAACAACACAGAGAGATAACATAATTAGGAAGGGGTTATATAATATGGATAACTGGAAAGAATGAAAGAACAGAAAGGGGAGATATGAATGAAGGAGGGAGGGAGGAGGAGAGGGAGATAACAGACTTGGGATAGGGAGAATTAAGGTTGGAAGAAGGAAGTAACTAGAGGGGGACCAAAAAGACTTGACAGAAGAGAGACTGATATCATCGGAAGGGGTTGAGATAACAGGTGTGAGATGATTATTAGATGAAAAAAGGGAGGAGTAAGATAAGAAAGGGGAAAGATCTCAGGGAAGGAGTGAAATGGCAGACAACTGGAGAGCCAAGGGTCCTGAAAGTAACAGGGTGAGATAAGAGGGATAGGAGGAAGATGTGGTTTCACAGGCAGAGTGAGATGTAGAAAGAAAGTGAGATAAAAGGAGAGGAATGGAGATGGGGAGAGATGAACGGAAAAATGAAATAGCAAGGAAAATAAAAGACCAAGTGAAATGGGGGCGGTATACAGAGCAAGGCAAAATAATAACAGGGAGGGATGAGAAAATGGGAGGGGCGAGAGGACAGAAAGGCATCAGATAACAGTGCAGATGAACTAGGGGGAAGGGTGATGAAGAGGAAAGAGGTGAGATAGGAAGAGAGAAGTAATTGAGGAGATGAGAAACAGGGGAATTGAGATAACAGGGACCAGATGAAATCACCGAAAATGGAGGGGGGGGGGAGATGCCTCGGAAGGAGCAAAGTCAAAGGGAAGAAGTGAGATAAAAAGAAGGTGAAATCCTGGCCAAGAGAGGAGATGAAAGTGATATAACAGAGAGGGAAAAGGTGAGATGAAAGAAGGGCTGAGATAACAAGTGAGACCACAAAAGGAAGAAATTAGAAGAGGCATAAGGGCAGCATGGAGGGCTGAGAAAAGGAGGGATGAGAAAATCAGGAAGGGCTGGACCCATGCAGAGAGAGGTGAGATAAGAGGGGGGGGTCAGAGAGTGGGCCGGGTGAGCTAACAAGGAGGTGGGGATGACAGACAAGGACTTAAATAACTGGAGGAGGTGAAACTGAGGGAGAGGGCTTGTATGATGACAGAAAGCTGTGAGATAGAATAAGTGAAATACCGGGCAGTGAAATAACAGTGAGTGAGTTATAGGAGGGAGAGAAGAGGGAAGGAGAGAACCAAGGAGGGTGGGAATGTGGAGGAAGGGGTCTTTGGGAAGGTGAACTAAACAAGCAATGCTAATAACAAAGGAGGGGAGGGTGAAAGAGGGGGCTTGAGAAAGCATGGAGGAGGGAAATAACAGAGAGGAAGTGAAGAAAGACAGGAGGTAAGCTGGCAATAAGGAGATAACTGGGAGGAGGCGAGATAACAGGATGGAGGTGAAACAGGTAAGTAGGAGGAGTGAGATAACAGAAAGAAAGTGAGATAGATAACTGGAAGGAGGAGAGATAACAGTGATAACTGAGTGGAGGTGAGACAGATAATGATTACAGGAAGCCTCACTGGGTGCCAGCAGCAGCAGCAGCAGTAGTAGGAAGCGGGGCAGGAGCCCCAGGCCCCCTGGAGCAGAAAGGCTCAGAGGTGAGCAAGTCCCCATGTCCAGGTCCTGGTGGTGCTCTGTGTCTCCTGGCAGCACCTGTGTCTTCATGGTAACTGACTAGGTGTGCCCAGGGTCCTCCTAGAGAGCGCCCCCTACTCCTGCGGCCGGGCAAAACCTGAGGGGACATGATCTCACCAGCCCAGTGCGTGGCTGTTCATCACATCCCCCTCAATCCCTTGGGGGGGGCGGGGGGGAGAGGTTGGTCTGCAAGGGCCACATGGTCTGGGGGAAAGCATCATGATTTCATAGAAACTGAAGAGAAAGGAATTTGAAGTCAGAAAACCTAGTTTTGAGTCCTCAACATGGTTCCATAATTATATCTACATGATCTCAGATCACTTAATCTCTAATACTTTGGTTTTCTTATCTCTAAAATGAAAGGGCTGAACTAGATGACATCGAAAGTCTATTCCAGCTCCACATTCTGGGGTCCTGTAAACCCTCAGGGGGTCTAAGAGAAAAAGAGGTCCCATCTTGAAGGGCCCCTGGTTGGAAGAGTCAGCCCTTACTATGGGAGGGCTGCTAGTCTGTGGGAAGACATGTCTTCTGACCTCAGGGAGCCCCTGTCTTGAGAAACCACATCCCTGTACCCTCAGGGACCCTTGAGCTAGCAGCAAATTATAACCCCTGGCCTCTGGCCATCTTTGCCCTCAGGTAAGGAAAACACGCCCTAATTTGAAGTAGGCCCTGGTGTGACAGAGTCATAAACTTGACCATCTGGGATCCCTGAGTCTGATTTGAGAGGCATTCTTAGATTTGAGGAAACTCTCAAGTTTCTTTGCCAAAATTTAGGGCTGCAGGCCAGTGTGCCCAAAAGGTACCGTAATAACATTTTCAAGGATTGCAAAAATTTTAATTGTAGACAGATTGTATCAGGAATGCCTAAACGTGCTACCAGGAGGCTGAGTAAGCCCCTTCCCATCTTGTCTTCTTGGCAATATGTGAATTCTGTAGACAGGATTATCTTTTGTCCTAAGACCTCACTGACTCAGAGAGTAAGACTGTTTTTGGGTTTTTTTTGGTGCTGATTGACTTTTGTGGCTAGGTCATACACCTAAGCTCCCGAACTAAACCCTCAGGTTCTGGCTTTAACTGGAGGCTATATAGGGTGGTATACCAAAGAGGAGAGATCCAGAGATCCCCTGAAGGGAGGCTTCTGTGTATACACACAGTTCTTCCAGGGAAGCACCGACCTAGAGGAAACGTTCCAAGTTGACATACAGAAACTAAAAGGAGCTCTGGAAAGGCCCTCCTTAAGGGGATACAGAAGGAAAGTGGGAGCCATTGCCAGATGGAGATGTAAAGGGAAAGAAGGATTCCACAGCATGGGGATGATGCAGAAGATCAATCTAGATACAGCCAGTTCAGCTCTTCTTTATTATTTTTTATTTTTTTTATTTTCTGCTAGGCAATGGGGTTAAGTGACTTGCCCAGGGTCACACAGCTAGTAAGCGTTATGTGTCTGAGGCCGGATTTGAACTCAGGTTCTCCAGAATCCAGGGCCAGTGCTCTATCCACTGCGCCACCTAGCTGCCTCACCAGTTCAACTCTTGAGGGTATTTGGGACTCACCAGAAGTGAGGGTTGGGGGAACAACCTAGCACTGGGGTGGGGAAGGCAGAGGTCACAGAGAAGGAAGAGGAATTTGACTGTTTATAAGATTAGGCACAAATCCTTTGTTTTTTGTAGAGTGAAATAAAGCCTGTCCTATCTTCGGTATTTTTGCTAGCCTGGATGCTTCCAGAAGGAGCAAGGGGCCTACTTCTATGGTAACTCAGATACAAGCCCAATTCTGATGTTCCTAAGGGAAGCCATGACTGAGGGTAAATATGAGACAAGATCTTTGAAGACATAGCCAGGTATTATGGCAAATAGAGTGCTGGACTTGGAGCGAGGAAGACTTGAATTTGACTTACTATCTAATTAAGAGGGATTTTCCTCACTGGGGAGTCCCCTAGACCAATGAAATCACAGGTCTAGGCCCTTCTATATTCAATCTAAAGAACATCAGACAATATTGCTGGGTATATTTTTAATTTTTAAAAATGTTTCTAGTGTCGTGATAAAACTACACACCCATTGTGTGCCCTGGAAAGGGTTCTAAATCTGGGCTCAGCAGACCTGGGCCCAATGTCTTGCTCCTGCATGGACTGTGTGAAGGGGCTGTGTCATTTAAGCTGGATGAGCCTCGGCCCCTTGTCTTGTTGAACTGAGACAAAGCGCATCCAGCTGTGCCCCTCACTTATTTCCTCACGGGAGGAAAGGGATGTGTAACCCTTATGATGTTGTAAGAATGGAGTATTGCTGTGTCCTCGGCCATGAGATGCCAACCATAGTCACCACAGACAATAAAAGAACTCCCAAGTCCTTTTCATTTTGACAGTTTAATGAAATTATCAGTCTCAGTGCCTTTTACAGTCAAGGACTGTCTGTTTCCAGCCCCTCGGGGCTCTCAGCTCCTTCCAGAAGAGGATCCGGCCCAGCACTACCCCCATCCTCTTCCCGGTGCCATCCCCTCCCCACTACCTACTTGGACACCAGGCCCCACTGCGCTTCTGGAAAATTTGCCTATCAAATTGCCTAGTGGGGGACTGGCCTGAAGAGATGAAGATGGAATGACGTGAGGGGGGAGGGAAGCCCATGTGAAAGCAAGGGAAGATGGAACAGAGGAGCCAAAAGAAAACTTGGGGGTGTGGGGAAGAAGCCTTCATGGGGCCATTGGGAGACCCAGGCAGAACAACTAATGCAGGAGCATAATCTGCAAAGGGACGAGGAGGGTGGGAAACAAGGTATATGTGCCTGATCGAGACCACGACGTGCTTTCACTTCTCTCCTCTATCCTGCCAATTTTCCTAGTTCGTAGAAATGAGATTTTTTTGGTCTTTTCTATCCAGTCCAGATAAGGGATGAGTCTGGTAAATACGGTCAGGTAGGTGGGTGAACACTGGGTGCTCCAGCTCACCACTGCCACCTGAGTCCAGATCTTCGAGAATTCACAGACGAGGGGGCTCCCAACATCTCCCTGGAGAAGAGAGAAATAATTAGTGGCGAATTTCAGGGAGGTGGTTGATCCAGTGCTGCCCACCCCCAAACAAGGCCAATCAACAATTAGGAGACCCTGGAATGTCAGAGGTGGAAGGAAGCTTAGAGACCATCTAGTCTAAGCCTTTCACTTTACAGAGGAGGAAACTGAGGCTCAGAGCCAGGAAGACATCCATTTGATTGACTGCCCAATGCACCTGACCTAGATTTGAATGCACTGAACTTACTGGCACAGGTTTCTACTTGAACTTGAGTCATTCACCAGACATTTATCCAGAAGTCCCTGTGTGCAGAACACTGGTCTAGGTGCTAAAGGAACTGGAAGCAGAGATAAGCCACAGAGCCTGCCCTCGTGGAGTGGGCAGCACCCTCCTCCATCACTGCCAAAGCCTTTTCCTCCTTTTTCCTGTCCTTCCTCCTTCTCCTTCCTCCCCTCTCCACCTTCCTCTGATTCCCAGGCATGATAGGCTCCTCTGGTTAGGTCAGTGTGGCCTGAACTGCCTGTCCTAGGATGGAGAATCAGAGGCGGTCCCTCCTCAGCCCTGTCCCAGACAGACTAGGCCCTGGCCTTGTCACACCCACTAGGGAGGCAGCCATGGCAGAGGGGACTGAATCCCAGCTTAGGACAAGGACACCTGGGCCTGGATCCTGGCTCTAACGTTCAGCAGGCATGTGATTCTGAGCCTCATTTTTCTCATCTGTGAAATGAGAATAGTGATCCTCTCTTCACACAAAGTTATAGGGGCACAAGTCATCTGGTATAGAAATGGCAGTTATTGTTGAGATGTTTTTTCCTTATTTTAGGTTGACACCTGCCTCTCATACCCTCCATGTATAGGAAGATCATCTCTGCCCCAGGCCAGCCCTGCAGCCAAATGAAGATGAAGACCAGGGCAGCCTCCCCTCCCCATATCCTCCCCACCTCACTAGCTTTGCCCAGGTCCTCCAGCCACCTGGATTCCAACCCTCCAACCCTGGTGGCCCTCCTGCACTTAACAAGCCTTTATTCAGGGGCTGGCAACACATGAACGAGCTGGAACTGCCCCTGTACTGGGGAGAAAGACTGGTCAGTGTCCTTCTCCAAATGCAGCCCCCAGAGCTGGAGACCAGGGACCACAGGGGTCTCATCCAGGCTGACCTCATTCCAGTCTCGGCCTTGGAGGAGCAGCCAAAAGGTCCTGGCAGTCTTCAGGACAGCAGCCAAGCTGCTTCTAGAATTCTCAGCTATTGGCCCATTGACTGGGGCAGGGGGGAAGTTTCCCAAACTTATCTGAACCATGTGAGGAAGTCCTGGAAACAGGGGCTAAGCTCTAGCCATAGGGCTCCTGAAGGAAGAGCCTTCAAATGATCTTCCAATAAAAACTGACCAAGAGACAGGTCATCCCAGAGCTGATGGAGAAGCAGACAACACGGTGCATTCAGAACCCCAGGAGCCAGGCTTGAATCCCAGCTTTGGTCTTCACCCCGCACATGACCTCAGAAAAGGTCCTTACATAAGCACACTGCTGCATTGTTGGTGGAGCTGCGGATAAGCCCAACACTACTGGAGAACATTTGGGAATTCTATGTAAGTCACTGAGCTGTACAAAAGCCAAAGACCGGGACAGAAAAACATTAATAGCAATACTTTCAGTAGCAGCAAAGAACTGAAAGGAAAATTGGTATCCATCGATTGGGGAATAATTGTGACAAATTGTGGCATACCATGAAATCACAGATGCAGAGCTGCAAGGGACCTTGGAGTGTGTAACACTGGCAATACATGAATTTCTGTTTTATTATCCTGTTTTATTATCCACTCCTGGTTTTCTGTCCAGTGGATGGAATAAGAAGAGTTCCCATTTCTAGAAAACGTCACAAATTATGAAGCGCTATTCTCACAACGACCCAACGAGACAGGACGAGCAAAGATTTTTATCTCTGTTTTTCAGACAAGAACACTGAGGCCCAGAGAGGAAACCTGGCCTGCCCAAAGTCACAAGCCTAAAGTGAGACACAGCCACAATTTGGACCCAATTTGCCGAGTCTAGCATGATTCTCAACATCCTTCAGTCTGAAGCCCAGAAGCTTTTGCTGGAGGGTTGTAGATTTAGATCCTAGGTTAGGGATCTGAAACCTTCAATCTGGTCTAATCCACGATCTAGCTCACTGTCTGCAAGATCCCAGATGAGTGGGTCAGCCCCATCCTCTTGTGGTGGGTCTATTCTTTCATCTCTACAATGACAGGGTTAAACCAGATCAGGGGCGGGGAACCTGCAGCCTGGAGGCCACATGTAGCCCTCGAGGTCCTCAAGTGTGGCCCTTGGACTGAATCTAAACTTCACAGAATGAATCCCCTTAATAAAAGGGTTTGTTCTCTAAAACTTGGACTCAGTCCAAAGGCCACGCCCAAGGACCTAGAAGGCCACATGTGGCCTTGAGGCTGCAGGTTCCCCACCCCTGGACTAGATCCTTCCTGAGCTAAAGCCTGCCTCTGAAATCTCCTATGACACAGAAAAGATTTCTATTAAGGTATGGACTGGATTAGACCAGAGGTGTCAAACTCTCAAGTGTTTCAAAACCAGATTAAAGTGTAAATGGGAAACATTTAACAAAATAAATAAAAATACAACAGACGATAGATGTGGCTTTTCTAAATCAATATGTGGCCCCCAGGGATCCCTATACACAGTTCAGTGGCCCTGGCCTGACTCAGTTTGATTTGTTGTTGTTGTTTTTCCTATTAAACATATTTTCACATTAGTCATGTTGTAAAGAAGAATTAGAACCAATAGGAGGGACCACAAGAAAGAAGAAACAAAATAAAACAGAAGAAAAAAAGGAGCAAATAGTAGGCTTTGATCTGCATTCAAACTCCACAGTTCTTTCTTTGGATGTGGATAGCATTTTCCATCATGAGGCCTTGGGAGATGTCTTAGATCCTTGCAGTGCTGAGGAGAGCTAAGTCTATCAATGTTAGTCATCGCACAATGTGGCTGTTACTGTGCACAACGTTCTCCTGGTTCTGCTCACTTCAATCAGCATCAGTCCATACAAGTCTTTCCAGGTTTTTCCAAAGTCTGCTTGCTCGTCATTTCTTATAGTAGTATTCCATCACATTTATATATCATAACTTGTTCAGCCATTCCTCAATTGATGGGCATTCTCTCAATTTTCAATTCTTGGCCACCACAGAAAGAACTGCTATCAATATTTGTGTACATGTGGGTCCTTTTCCCATTTGTATGATCTCTTTGGGATACAGCCCTAGAAGTGCTATTCCTAGGTCAAAGGGTATGCACATGGTTTATAGCCCTTTGGGCATAGTTCCAAATTGCTCTCCAAAATGGTTGGATCAGTTCACAACTCCACCAACAATGTATTAATGTTCCAATTTTCCCACATCTTCAACATTTGTCATTTTCCTGTTTTGTCATATTGGCCAATCTGATAGGTGTGATATGATACCTCAGAGTTGTTTTGATTTGCATTTCTCTAATCAATAGTGTTTTTGAGCATTTTTAATATGACTTTAGATAGTTTTAATTTCTTTATCTGAAAACTGCCTGTTCATGTCCTTTAATCATTTATCAATTGGGGAATGACTTGTATTCTTATAAATTCGACAGAGTTCTCTATATGTTTTAGAAATGAGGCCCTTATCAGAGACACTGGTTGTAAAAATTCTTTCCCAGTTTTCTGCTTCCCTCCTAATCTTGGTTGCATTGGCTTTGTTTGTACAAAAACTTTTCAATTTAATGTAATCAAAATTGTTCATTTTGCATTTCATAATGTTCTCTATCTCTTGTTTGGTCATAAATTCTTCTGTTCTCCATAAATGTAACAGGTAAACTATTCCTTGCTCTCCCAGTTTGCTTATGGTATCAGCCTTTATATCTAAATCATGTACCCATTTTGACTTTATTTTGGTATAGGGTGTAAGATTCTGGTCTATGCCTAGTTTCTGCCATCCTCTTTGCCAGTTTTCCCAGCAGCTTATTTTTTCAAAGAGTGAGTTCTTATCCCAGAAGCTGGGGTCTTTGGGTTTATCAGATAGTAGATTTCTATAGTCACTCAGTTTGACTTTGATATCACTGGACCAGATGACCCCCAAAGTCCCTTCCAGCTCTGACATTTTGAGATTGTAGCTTGGGAAGGCACTGATCTAGAGGGGACAAGTGGCCCAGGAATGGCCTCTAAGAAGAGGGAAAGGCTAGTGAGGATTTGAGAGTAGAGAAGGAAGGAACAGGAGTCTTGTCTCTGTCCAGGAAGGAGAGGTGTTCCAACTGATCACAGAGGGCTCTGAATTCTGCACTTAGAAGCCAAGAAAAGGAAAAACCAAAAGGAGCTTACCAGGCAGATCACTTTGGGGTTACTGATGTCCCCTGCACACAGCATGTCATCCTCTATCTCATACACCTCTTTGTTAGTTGTGATATTCACCATGGATACGTAGAGGGCATTACACTCGGGATTCTTAATAAAAGGAAGTTGGACCTCCTGGAGAGAGGAGACCTTTACCGGTAACACTGTTGGGAAGCAGAGTTCCCAGTTAGAGGCCAGGCCTTCTCCCCACCTGTGCTGCCTGCCCAGCCTATGAAGTTCAAACTCCCCAGGAAATCTGCCCTAATAATAACTACAATAATGATAATGATTAGTGTTTAGAGCACCTGCCCTCACAGTTGTTGTGAGGATAAAATGAGATATTTAGAAAAAGCATTTAGCACAGTGCCTGGCACATATTCTGTTCTGTTTGGCCATTTTTCAGTCATGCCATCTCTCCATGACCCCATTTAGGGTTTTCCTGGCAAAGATGATGGAGTGGTTTCCATTTCCTTCTCCAGCTCATTTTACAGATAGGCAAACAGGATTAAGTGACTTACCCAGGGTCACACAGCTAGTAAGCGTCTGAGGCCAGATTTGAACTCAGGAAGTGGAGTCTTCCTGACTTCAGTCTCAGCATTCTATCCATTGTGTCCCTAGCTGCCCCAACTGGCACATAGTAGATGCTTTATAAATGTTTATTCCCCTTCCCTTTAAGGTTTGTAAATTTTTTATAAATATTCTCTCATTTTATCCTCATGACAAACCCTGAGAGGTAGGTACTATTATTATCCTCATTTTACAGATGAGGAAACTGAGGCAGTTAGCAGTTAAGTGACCTGCCCAGTATCACATAGCCAATAAGTGCCTGAGGTTGGATTTGAACTCAGGCCTTCCTGACTTCGTGTACTAGGGCGTTCTGTGGCTCCCTGGCCTTGTCCCTCAGCACAAGCCCCTGTTGAAGATCAGAGTGCCAACTGTACCCTTTTAGTTCCTAACTTTTTTTCATCTCTGAAGGCCTCCACAGACCTCTACCTGAGAAGCATTTTCTTTCTCCTTTCCACTAAATTAGCTTTCTTCCTGCCTTTAAAACTTGGAAGCCTTCCAGGTTAATCAGACCTGAAATTTCAGAGCTGGAAAGAGTCATCTAGTCCTCTGTCTTGGACCCCTTTTAAGCAGACTGGGAAAGTCTATGGACCCCTTCTCAGAATCATGTTTTAAAATGCATAAAATAAAATACATAGAATTGCAAAGGAAACCAAAGATGTAATTTTTTTTCATCCAAATGCATGGACCCCCTGAAATTTACCCATGATCACTCGCTTGATGCTTGGACCCTAGCTTAAGAAACCTTGTGTAACTGCCGGTATAACTGCCTTATTTTGCAAAGCAGGGGTCCAGGGAGAGGAAATGATTTAACCAAGGTTACACAGCCAGTCAGGGACAGAAACAAGACTTGAACCCAGGACTTTTGATTCCCAGGCAGGGCTTTTGTACTAAGGCAAAGAGTGGGTAATAAACAAGGTGAACTCGAGATCTTGACCCGAGGAAGTCAATGTGATCCCCGAGGCAGATCGATTTGAAAACAATGGCGAGATATGGCAAGGGAAGGTTATACTTGAACTACTGCTTCTGTGGATGCCTATCAAGGCTCTTAATGCTCACACATCTCGGCCACTCCTCCTAGAAGGGCTCCACGAGGATCCAGCCACTCGGTGTCTCCTCATGGAGCTCTATGTAATCAGGTGGGAGATAGTGCTTTGTGTGAAATCGAGGAGTGTCTCGGTGGGGAAAGGGGCTGATGCCATGTTGGCCTGCATAACCATGCCCTGCTCTGAAATGCTAGGGCAGGAGGAGCCCAGCAGTGATCCCCTCCACTCTGCAGATGTCTCTTCTTCTTCACCAGCTGTTTCGCCAGCCTCCCCAGCTCCCTTTTCCTGTTCCCCCTTCCCACTCCCCTTTCTGTGACTATCTTCTCCCAGGAAAATGCAAAGTACTGTTTGTATCCCTAGTGCTTAAAGTACCCAGAACATAGAAAGCTCTCTATCTATCCATCTCCCTCTCTACCTATTATTTGTCTATCTCTCTATCCATCTACATCTACATATTTATATCTACCTATTCTTCTAGCATCCATCTACTTACTATCTATCTTTGCATCTATTTATCCATCTACTTGTTTTTGCTGTTGACTCATTTCAGTTGTGTCTGCCTCTCATGATGCCATTTGGGGTTTTCTTGGTAGAGATACAGGAGTGGTTTGCAATTTCCTTCTCTAGCTCATTTTACAGAAGAGGAATTGAGACAAACAGGGCTAAGTGACTTGCCCAGGGTCACACAGCTAGTAAGTGTCTGAGGTTGGATTTGAACTCACAAAAATGAATCTTCCTGACTCCAAGCCCAATGCTCTATCCACTGTGTCACCTAGCTGCCCTCCATCTACCTAATATCTATCTACCTACTAATTTATCTATCCATCCATCTACTTATCCTTCTATCATCTACCTAACATCTGTTATCTATGTATATATCTATCCATCTACCTATTATCTATCATCTATCCATCTACCTCTTTATGTAATATATACCTACTAATCTATCTACCTACCATCTATTATCTGTCTCTATCTGTATATCTGTCTCTATCTATCTATCTGTCTAGCTATCAATCTATCCTGCTGCCCTGTGCCCAGTCAGAAGACATGTAAACTAGCACGTTTAGGTCTGGGTGCTTCAATTTAGGAAAAACATTGACAAATATCTATAAGGTCTATAAGGGGAGGACCCTAATGTTGAGGCAATCTGAACCTTCCCCTGTTAAGCTCAGTGGAAAGAACTGATGGAAAATTCCCAGCAGAAAAGAAAAAAAAGATTTTTGAGGGAACATCCTCTCAAACATGTGAAAAGCAGCAGTGTGGAGGGATTAACTTTACTCTGCTTGGCCTCTAAGGGCAGAACTGAAAGGAAGAGAGGATGTTACAGAGAAGCAGGCTTTGGCTCTCTCCCCAGAGTGGCAGAGCCCGGATGACCCCTGGTTGGAGAGGGTGGGAAGAAGGATCGTGGTGGGTGCCATTTGGCCTAGATGTCCTGAAGCCCCACTCAGGTCTGAGGATCTCTTATTCTTTCACCTCACCACACTGGCTCTCAAGCTCTGCGGTGTGTTACCTCATCTGCCCACATATCTTTCCTCTCACCTGTGTTGGTAGGTCTTTCCCAGCCTGTCATCCAGCAAGAGACCTTCTCTTCAAAATTCAAGCCTGGTCTTGGCATGCAGATAGGCATGACATACGGAGACAACCTCACCGGAACCTCCAGGAGGACCAGCCCAATATCTTGTCCAAAGGGTTGAATATTTGAGATATCTGGATGCCTAAAAATCATCTTCACTCCAACCGTGAGAGACTTGGGGCTCTTCTCATATAACTTATGGCTGCCCACTAAAACATGGTAGACAGTAGGGTCATTGGTTCTGTGGGGAAAGGGAGAAATCTCACATTACTGTCCACTCTTTGTGAGCCTTTGGAAGTGAATCACAGCTGAAATAACAGACTCAGAGATGGAAGCTGTCACTTCTTTCCAAGAAGCGGTCATCCAGTTCTCCTTTGAGACCCCCATGGACAGAACAGCCAGGGCAGCCTCCTTATTTTTGGATCCCTCTAATGTGGAGGAATTCTCCCGAGTGTTGAACCAACACCTGACTCCCTGAATCTTCTACCCCCTGCTCCCCTTTCTGGCCACTGAGCAGACCAGGTCTAAGCCCATGACTTCTGACAATCCTTCAGATATTTCAAGATTGTCATCACCTTCTTTCTAAATCTTTACTTCTCCAGGATAAATATCTCCAACTGGTCTTCATGTGACACAGTCTCCTATCTCCCACCATCTTGTCATTCTTCTCAGGTTGCAATCCAGTTTGTCCATGTGACATCCAAAATTAAACAGAATACCCTGGATGGGATCTGACCAGTTCAGAATCCAGCAGGATTTTCACCTTTCTGCCTTTCCATATTGTACCTCTCATAATGTAGTTTAAGATCATGTTAGTTTTTTGACTTGATGCCACACAGTTGACTCATATTGAGGAAGTGGTCTACTAAAACCCCCAGATCTTTGTCATACAAATGTGTCTAGCCAGTCCTCCACCCTCCTATATTTGTGTGTGAGTGTTTGTGTGTGTGTGTGTGTGTGTGTGTTTTAATTAAAAGAAGTCTATATTCTTTCCATCCCAGTGGAAAAGAAAAAAAATCTTTGAAACAAATATGCATAGTTAAGTAAAATAAATTCCCTCATTGGCTGGCCGAAAATAGAGATCTCATTCTGAACCCTGAATCCATTATCTCTCTGCCAGGAGGTGGGGGAAAAAAATGTTTCATCATGTTTCCTGGAGTCATGGATGATCATTGCATTGATCAGAATCCTTACAGCTTTCCAAGTTGATTGTTTCATGGTGTTGTTATTATTTAAATTCCAACATATGGATTTACCTTTATCTTTATTAAATTTCATCCTATGGTATCTGGACCCTAGTCCTAGGCATTCGAGGCCTTTCTGAATGTTAACTCTGTTTTCTGATCTATTAGGCACATCCCTTCCACCCCCACCCCACTCCAGCTGCCGTGGTCTTTTAAATATCCAGACCTAATATCATTCTTTAATTCTATTCCCATACTTCCAACTACCTGGAAGACATCTCTGCTGAGACATACTATCAGCAGAATAAACCATCTAAAAAGAAATTTATGATCTTCCTCCTAAACCTGCCCCTCCACCAAACATTAATATGTCCTTCCAATTATACAAAGTTATAGAATCAAATGCTCTCTATGCTGAAGATTCTCAAATTTACCTATCCAGCCCCAAGCTGTCTCGCAGCCCCCAGTCTCAACCAACTGCCTTTCAGGCACCTTGAACTGCACATCCAGCAGACACCTGAAACTCAGTATGTGTAAAAATGGAACTTATGATCTTTCACCCTAAACTCTCCCACCTTCCAAACCTCCCTCTTCCTGTCAAGGGAACCACTATCCTCCTCCCCAGGCTCACAACCTAGGCATCATTTTTGACTTTTCAACTTTTCTCACCTCTTATCCCCCCATATCCAATCTGCTGCCAAAGTCTGTCCATTTGACTTCTGCGCCTGTCCACTGTGGCCCCTGCTCTCTCCTGACACTCCCATGGCACCCTGCTGCACGCCCTCATCACCTCTTACCTGGACTATTGCAACAGCCTCTGCTGCTGGTCATCCACCTGTCACAAGTCTCCCTCTACTCCAGCCATCCTCCATTCAGCCACCAAAGTGATTTTCCTAAAATGCAGGTCTGATCATGCCAAACTCATAGTCAATAAACTCCTGTGGCTTCCTATGGCCTCCAAGATCAAATACAAAATTCTTTGTCTGCTTGGCATTCAAAGCCCCTCCTAACCTTGCCTCCCTCCCACCTTTCCAGTCTTCTTACACCTTACACCATGTCCACCCCCCGACATACTCTTCCGTCCAGTGACGCTGGCCTCCCTACTACTCCATGAATAAGAAGCTCTCTCTCAGTTCCCATCAACCTTCACAAGGTCAGAGGGAGGTTCAAGTCAAGCAATGTATGCAAAGGCCTTTGCATACTCTACAATGTTCCATAAAGTTGAGCTATAACTATTCATGTGGACATCAGGATAGCATGGACCCTGACCTCTTCTCCCAATGCCAAGCACTGAGTTCTGCCAAGAGTAGGCATTTGAGAAGTTCTTGGAGGCAGCAGAACTTTAGCTAGTCCTTTAAAGAGGTGAGATTTGACAAAGTAGAAAATAAACACATCTATTTAGGCCCTCCCAGCCCAATACAGGCTGCACTGCACAGCACTGCTTCTCTTCTTTCTGAATGACAGGAATAATTAACATACTTCTGTTGCATCATTTCTTCTCTTTTCTTTTTCCTTGTACACAGCTCAGCCTCTGGGATCTCCATGTCCCAGGTGGATGTCCCTACAGATATCCAACCCCGCAGGGCACCCCTCCTTACAGCCGGCCTTTCTGGACCAGGGCAGAGAGCCCTAGTGCCCTCCCTCAGCTGTCCAGGCCCCGTGACTCACCTCCGGAAGCAGTGGGATGCCGTGAGCACCCACTGGACGTCGATAAGGGTGCCCTCACACAGGGGGTGCTGCCCATACTGGATGCTCACTTGCCAAGGCCACTTCCCCTCCCATGTTGTCTTAATCCTTGGGTCTTTCTGCTTCAGTCTGCGTTTCCCACACACTGTGGAGAGGGACACGACACATGGAGGGGCAGGGATGTCAGAAAGCCCACCATAGTCTGGGGGTCCTCCACGCCAAAGGCAATGGGCCTTAGGATGGCTCTACCCCCACCCCCGGATTCTTTTGCTCCCCAAAACTGGTGTAAAGAATTGGACTTGAGAGTCAGAAGACCTAAGTTTGAAACTCAGCTCTCCCTTTTTCTTCATCTGTGAAATGGACCTAACCATACTGTCTTTGTTTCACAGGGGTGCTGTGAGGAAAGATGCTTTGTACACTGTAAAGTATACTAGAGGTGTGGGTTATGGGCTGCAATCAACATGCTGGAGGGGATCTCCACATCAAGGGAGTCATAAGTAATGAAGAAATGAACCCTAGAAAAAATGTGCTTTGGTCAATAGGGTGTAAGAGATAGTGCTGGAATCTGAACTCAGGTCTTCCAACTCCATCACACCTCTCTCAGGCCTCCCTGGCCTATCCCTGGCCATTTAACCCGCTCCGGAGGGCTCAGTCTCACCTCAGCCTCTGACCAATGTAGATCCTAGGAGAGGGGAATGGAGCAGCCTCTGGAGCCAAAGCTCAGTTCAGGTTGGCGGCATCTGCTTCTAGGAGATGGACTCTTGCTCGGCCCCCTGTGACTACATCTCAAGCCCAGGACTGTCCTCTTGGTGCCTAGGTCCCTCCTTTAACAGGTATCTCTGTTCCCCAGTTCCCAAGGGACTGAGATCCTACCAAGTATGGCTTAAGACCAGTGTCCTACCCTCAATATTCAGTCTCTAAGCCTCTGATCCTGTCTCCCACAAGACAACCACTACACATTTCTCTAGACAGCCCTCATGGCCTCAGAACCACCCACACGTCTGGTCACCACTCCCTTCTTTACAGCACTTCAATGTTCACAGACTAGTTTCCTCCCAACAATCTTGTGAGTTAGGTAGTGAAACTAGTATTATGCCCATTTTGCAGAGTTGGAAACTGAGATGAAGTGACTTGCCCACAATCACAGAGCAGGGTCTGGATTTGAATTCAAGTCTTTTCTGACTTAAAGTCCCATAAGTGCCTTTTCACTATAGCTAGTGTGTGTTCAGCCTCTAAAGCTTTATCTGGGAGAAGATGGAATTGAAAGACAATCTTATAAAAAAAGACACTAGCCAGGGAGTCACACATTCCTGCCTCTAGCCCTGAATGGCAAGGTGACCCTGGACAAGCCTCCCAGGGTTATTATGAGGATGGAGGGAGGTAACACATGGAAAGCAATTAGCACAATTTAATGTGCTCTGTCCAAGGCAGCTCTCCTTATTATTACTGCTTGTGACCCTGACCAAATCACCTTCCTCTTGAGGATTCAATTTTCCTTATTTTAAACAGGAGAAAGTTAAGCTAGCGGTCCCTTCAACCTCCACATTCTACAATTCTGTGAAACTATAGGCCAGATTTGGGCTCTACTAGGAAGATTCTCCACTCCACTTCTGACCCCGGGGTTCCATTTCCTTCCCTGATTCCACTGTCTTCTCCAATTCTAAATAGCTCCAGCACACATACATGCATGTATGCACTCATATGCGTGTGTGCACACATGCAGGTGCACTTATGTGCATGTGCACGCACGTGCGTGCACACACACACACACACACACACACACAGAGTCCAGGCTTGCCTGGCTCCAAGGGTTAGTACCTTCTGGTCTCTCAGGAATCCTGGTTCCCAAACCCTAAAGAGAGATCGTGGAAGGGAAACAGGTCTTACCTGGACAAAAGCGGTTACTTCCATGGGATCCTGCTGGGAAGGAATTAGTGAGATAAGGGAGAAAAGAAGAAAGCTATATTAGAGGAAATTATTTCTGGTTGTCTACTGCATGGCTCTTGCTTGACATCTGTCAAGCAATCATCAGCTAACTGGCTTGTTTTCTCTCCAAATCTGCTTCCTAGTCCAACTCTCTCATTCCTATCACTTCCTTTTAGGGATCTGCTCACAGTATCCTAGTGTCTGTTGCCCTAACTCTCCGCAGTACATTTGGGAATTTTCTTCCAATGAAGTTTTCATCAATGCCTCATCACAGCATGAAGATCATGTGACTTTGGGCCCTCCAAAGCTTCACCAACTTAGGCAAACTCCAAACTGGAAAAACTTCAGTATGGACCCACTAACAGCCCCTCCTCAGATGACTAAGGCTACAGGAGAAGGGTGAATTCCATTACTAGACCACTGGCCATCAAAAGAGGATTTTTTAAAAAACAGGAACATTGAGACAATAAGAAAGGGGACTTACTATGTGTGTTACACTCAGTAGTTACATAGCTAGTAAGGAATAGAGGAAAAGATTTGTAGAAAAGAAGGGAATGAGATAACTGAAGAGGGGATGAGATTGAAGGAGAGATAAGATAATAGGAAGGATTAGATAGGTAGTGAGATAGGTCAGAATGAAAAAACAAGAGCATGAGATAATAAGTAAGAGTAAAATAATAAGGAAGGATAAAATTACAGGAAGGAGAGAATGAGATAATAGAAAGAAGGGATAATAAGGATGAGATTACAGGAGAAAAAACAGGAAGGATAACAGGGAGATTGTAAGAAGAAGGGTATGAGATGACTGGGATGGGGTGAAATAACGGAGAGAGGAGGTGATAAAGAGCAGGGAGGGCTGAGATAAAAGAAGGAAGTGATCTAACAGAAAGAGAGTAAGGATGGAGGGGGCTATGCAATAACAAAAAAGGGGTGAGATCACAGTGAAGATCAGATAACCAAAGGAGGTGAGATAAAAGGAGGAGGTGAGATAACAGAAGTTAAATAAAGATGAGGGCCTGAAAATAATCTGCAGGTGGATTCTAAAAAGAGGAGGGAAGATATCATGAGGCAATGATGCTCTAGGAGATCAGGTGGAGGGTTATGAGACAGCAGAAGAGAGCAAAAGAACTGGGAGGGAATGAGATAATAGGAGGGGGGGGCGGACTACAGGAGCCTGTGGAATAACTGAGGAGGTGAGATAACAGGTAATATAATAGAAAACTAGGAAAGAGTGCTAAGGGTATGCAATAACAGGAAAGACATGAGATTATATTGGGACTTGGGAAAACAGGAGAGGATGTGGTTTAGGGGAGCTGGGAGAGATCAGCCTGAGAGCATGAAATAGCAGGAAGGATGGAGATAACCGGGAAAGGGTGGAATTACAGGAAGGGAGAGAGATAATAGGAAGAAGGGATAGAGAAAGCCTGTGGCATAACAGATGGGACTGAGATAGAAGGAAGGGGAGGAGGAAGAGAGGGAAGAGAATGGGGAGGAAGAGGAGCAGGAAAAGGAGGAGTGGGAGAGGGAGGAGGAGGGGGAGGAGAAGCAGGACCATAAGAAGGAGGAGAGAGAAGGAAGAGGAGGATGCGGAAGAAAAGAAAGAGGAAGAGGGGGAGGAAGAGGATGAGAAGAGAAAAGGAGAAGAGGAGGGAAAGAAAGGAAGAGGGAGGAGAAAAGGGGGAAGAAGGAGAAGAAAGAAGAGAGGCAGGAAGAGGATAATAGAAAAGAAGAGGAAAAGAAAGGGGGAGGAAGAGAGAAAGGAGGAGGAAGAAGAGGAGAAAAGAGGAGGGGGGGAGAAAACAGAAAGGGTTGAAATGGGAGGATGGCATAAGTGGGAAGGGTAGGAAGCAAGATGGGGGAGAGGCTCTAGAGGAGCAGGAGGGAGGGAGATGGCAGTAGGGGGCTGGGGTGACAGGGTGGCCCCCTCCCATTCCTGGCCCGCCCCTGGGGGAGGGGGTCTCACTAGGAAGTAGCAGCAGCAGCAGCAGCAGCAGGGGGAGCCTGCTTCTGCCCCCTACCCCCAGGCCCCTCTTGGTCTGTGGGGGCTGGGCCGAGCCTGGGACAGGGTCCAGGGCCCCCTGCACCTGCCCCACTGATCTGGCCTGAGGATCCACGTTGCTGGTGGCTCGATCAGTGGCCCTAAGAACTGTAATGGCAGCGGGGTTCCTCCAGCCCTCTTGGGAGGGAGGCTCCAGGGGCCTGCAGCAGCCCTTAGTGCTGGGGAGAGCCAAAGCAGGGGCCTGCAGCAGCCCCTAGTGCTGGGGAGGGCCAAAGCAGGGGCCTGCAGCAGCCCCTAGTGCTGGGGAGGGCCAAAGCAGGGGCCTGCAGCAGCCCCTAGTGCTGGGGAGGGCTCAAAGTAGGAGCCTGAGGAGACCAGGCCCCAGGGGCCTGCAGCAGCCCCTAGTGCTGGGGAGGGCCAAAGCAGGGGCCTGCAGAAGCCTCTAGTGCTGGGGAGGGCCAAAGCAGGGGCCTGAGCAGGACCGGGCTCCAGGGGCCTGCAGCAGGGGCCCAAGGGGACCACTGAGCAGATCTGGCCTGGCTTTCTTTGCCCATCTCTTCCTTTCCCATGTTCTCACTGGTTGGAGTAGAGGTCTTAGGGGTGCCTTGTGGCTGCAGAACATGAATTCTCAGCACCAGGAAGAACCTTAGTACACAGAACACAGAATGTTCATACTGGAAGGGGACAACAGAACATGGAATGTCATACCTGGGAAGAATCTTGAACCTAAGAACCCAGGAATTTCAGGGCTAGAAAGAATGCTAGAACACAGAATGTTAGACTCAGATGGTGATAGTTAAGGCCAACCCAGCAAGGAAGACAGAGGAGGCTTTCACACTTGTAGAAGGAGAAGCAAGAGAGAATGATACCGTGCAAATCAACTTCACAAGTACGAAAGAGAGGAGACCTGGCTAAATAGCAGTTTGTCTAAAGATGTGGGGCTTTCCAAAGTACTACAAGATCAGTGTGAGTCAAAATTATGGCAAGGCAGCCCAAAAAACCCGAATGTGGTATCAGAGTATATTAAAAGAGGTGTGGTGTCCAGAATGAAGGAGGTGACATAGTGCCTCCCACTGCAGCCTGCCCTAGTCAAACCACATTTGGGGTCCCGTCTGGGACTCTAGGAGCCTATTAATATCAAATAAACTGAAGTGTTCAGTGGACGACTAGGATGGCGAAGGGTCTCGTGTTCACACCATGCAAGGACCGGCTTAAAGGACAGGATATTTAACCTGGAGAAGAAAATACTTGGGCAGGACATACTAGTTGTCTTCCATTGTTTGGAAGGGGGTCACAGAGATGGAGGTTAGACGCGTTTTGCTAGACATGAGAAGGCCAAACTGGGGAAATGGGAAAACAATGAAGAGAGACAGATTTTTTGACAATGTAAGGAAAAATTTCAAAACAGTTAGGGCTATCTAAAAATGGAATGGACTCTGGGGTCCCCCTCATTCCTAGATGTCTTCAAGCAAAAGATGAATGATCACTTGTAGAGAAAGTTTTGTTCAAGTACAGATCCTCTTCCAGTTCTGAGACTCTGTGACTCTCACTGGAACTGACAATATATCACAAAGAACAGAGGATTTGGAACAAAGGACGGGTGTCTGAGTGCCCACATTTACCACCACTCGCCAGTTTTGAGATGCTGAGAAAGTCATTTTAGGTCTTTGGGCCTTACTTTCCTCATTTGAAAAATGAGCCTAACCATATTACACTAACTATATCACAGGGCTGTCACAGGGAAACTATAAACCTTAAAGTGTCAGAGAAAAGGTAGTTATTAATGTTATTACTTTATGTTATTGAGGTGTCCCTCACTTTAAGAAAGCAGTGTCTAGCCCAGCATGGTGAGCGATGTCTCTAATCCCAAATAGACTAAGATTGGAGGATCTCTTGATCTCAGGAGTTCTGACCTAAAGTAAACTAAAGATGACTGGGTGTCTGTACTAAGTTTAGCATTAATGTAGTGAGAACCCAAGGGCCAGGGGTTACCAGGTTAGATAAGGGGGATTGAACTGGTCCAGGTCAGAAACAGAGCAAGTCAAAGTCCCCATGCTGATTAGTAGTGAGTAGACCCCCTGCACTTCCAGCTCGGGTAATATAGGGAGGCTAAGACTAAGGAAGGAAGGGAGGGAGAATCAGAGGAAGAGAGGGAGGAAAGGAGGGAGAAAGAGGAGAAAGAAAGAAAGAAAGAAAGAAAGAAAGAAAGAAAGAAAAAGAAAGAAAGAAAGAAAGAAAGAAAGAAAGAAAGAAAGAAAGAAAGAAAGAAAAAGAAAGAAAGAAAGAAAGAAAAAGAAAGAAAGAAAGAAAGAAAGAAAGAAAGAGAGGAAGGAAGGAAGGAATAGTACATGCAAATATGAATTTATCAAACATTATGTTTAATAATGCTTTGTACACTCTTTCACATCCATTTCCTCATGTGCTCCTCCCAAAATCCTGTGAGGTAGATAGGGCAGGGTTTATTATTTCCATTTTATGGTTGGGGAAACTGAAGTCCAGAGAGCTGAAGCCAGAGGTCTTAGAGATAGAGGGAGAAAGGTAGTTCACTAGAGGAAAAAGAATCAGAGACAAGAGTCCAGGATTCAGCTCCCAAATCTGCCTTTCTGGGCCTCAGTTTCCTCTTCTGTAAAATGAAGAAATTGTACAATAACGATCTTTGATGTCCTTTTTTAGTTCTGAAATCCTAGCATTCTAAATAACAGATGTCAGAGCTGGAAAGGACATGACAACATAGAACCAGAGACAGTCATCACTGGGAGGGAGCTGTGAGCCTGGAGAAAGGAACTAGTTTGCCCCTGCCTAGAAAGCAGTAGTCAGTGTTATGCCCTATCTTAATTAGATGGGAATAGCTCCTCCTTGGAACAGTGGACTATGTCATGGATTTGCAGATAGAAGGGCCTGTCTGGTCCAACTTTTCCATTCTGCATTTGAGGATAACAAGTGAAGTGACTTGCCCAGAATCACACAGCTAATCAGTGACTGAGAACCAGTTCTCTTTCAGGTCCTCCTAACTCCAAGGCCAGCCTACTCTCCCCCATGCCTCTGAGCTGTCCAAAAAGGCAGAGGAGGAAACTGAGAAACAAAGAAACTTGCCCAAGGTCACACAAGTAGTAAATAGCAGAGTCAGGATTTGAACCCAGGCCTGTTGACTCCAAATCTGTCACTCTTATGGATCCCTAGCCAAGGTCAGTCTTCATCCAGGAGGGCCTGGGCTCCTGCTATAGAACAGACTCACATGCTTTCTGCTGAAAATCTCCCAAACCCCCCCTTCCCTCCTCCCCCTCCCCTGCAGTCCCCTTGGAAAGAAGCTATGGGGGAGTGTTGGGGAGGGGGGAGAGGGAGCCTCCCTCCAGCTGCCAAGCAGCCAGTTGTCCCAGCCCAGCAGGGGGCCATGGGGGGCTTTAAAAGAAAGCAGGACACCCAAAAATGTGATGACTTGTCAAGAACGCAGGCAAGGAAGGTGTTTAAGACATGCATTTCCCTTGAGTGAGGACGTGGGGCCAGCAGCCTGGAGCGTAGGTGATTATGTACAAATTTATGGCTGGTCTCCCCCTGCCCCTTCCCCCCAACTCCCCAGCCTTTCCCAGGGTGTTTAGAGGGCTGGGGCTGAGAGGAAACTCCCCACACCAGGAAAGGCTTATAAACTCACTGCCTGGCTCTAGGCCAGAGCTGTTAAGATCCTTCCTGCCCTTCTGGGGGACTGGGGCTCTGCTCCTTGATGGGCTGGCTCCCTGGGAGGTGGGATGGACTCTGATGGGGAGAGAGGCCTGCCCGTCATCCTCTCTGGTCGATCGGGCAGCACCTCGAGAAGTCGCAGGGACAGGTCTTTGCCCTCCTTCCTTCCTGAGCTGCCCTTTCCCTAGCCCGTCTGTTAAGCATCTGTGCCTAAACCTGGGTTGCTGATTCTGCCTGCCTTCAGGTGACCTTAAGAGGGTGCTGTGTAGAAGAAAAAGCTCTGCATTTTAATCAGGAAACATTAAATTCAAATCCTATCTGCCATTTGGAAGTCGCTTCTCTCTGGGTTACCTCCTCTGCAAAATAAAGACCAGATCATGGATTTTTAGCCCTGGAAGGGACCTTAGAAGCCATCTAATCCAACCCCCAAATGTAACACAGGAGGAAACTGAGCCCTAGAAAGGGGAAATGACTTACCCAGGAATCTTAGAACTCTAGTAATGGCATAAGAATCCCTCTCCCATCAACATGCAACTCCAGTAAAGCCTCGCAGGTGAAGATTTTCCTGCTATCACCCTTCCTCCTCCAAATTCCTTGTATTTAACTCCTTCATGCTAATTTGCATTTTTTAGATTTATTTTGAATATACTTACATGTGTACTTGCTGACACTTCTGCTGGAACGGAAGGTCCTTGAGAAGCGAAGCGGTTTCATTTCTTGCATGGAGTGTCCCAAAAGTCTTAGTGCAGTTTTACACTTTAATTATTTCAGAGGTATAAATGCTGCAAACTTACAAAGCATGCCAATTGAGATTGAATTACTTAAATTTCATTTTCATTCATTTAGTTTTGTGGATTATGGATAGGAATTTTTTTTTAATTTTAAGAAGTATGGGGTTCCCTATCATCATGTACTGCATGTACAAGTTTCTGGTTGACCTTTCTCAGACCAGTGAATCGGTAGAGAGAATGTTCTTTTGGCCACCTCAGTCACCTGATTTATCTCCATCAGACTTCTTCTAGTGGAGTCATGGTAACACCACCACGAATGCATCCGAACCTTGTTCTTTGGATGATCTTAAGGCTAGGATTATAAATTCAGTGTTCTCAGTCATTAGCATCTAAGTGGAAAAGTACATAGTCCGTAAGACGAGAGTTCAAATCTGACCTAGGACATTTACATGATCCGTGACTCTGGGCAAGTCACTTAACCTGCTTGCCTCAGTTTCCTCAATTGTAAAATGAAGACATAATAATAACATTTACCTGTTTTAAGGATCAGTTGAGATCATATTTGCAAAGTGCTTAGCACAATGCCTGATATTATATAAATAGTATAATTATTATTGAACTGTAGCTGCTGATAAAAGTTTCCAAGTTCAAAATCAACTAGAGTAATGTATAGCACAAGATGGTAGTTATGGTGGATTTTAACAAGAAATGTTAATATTTTTCCAGTTTAAATAATTAGCCTTTCAAATGTGGTGAGCTTTTTTTTTTGTAAGTTCATAACATTTACATACTTCTTAGATTATTAAAGCTTAACTGCATCAAGACTTTTGGGACAACTTGTATTTTTATACTCAGTGCCTGACACACAGTAGGCCCTTAATAAATGTTTATTGATTAATTAATCGATTGATTGACTGATTACAAGACCATTTACAACACATGGCCTCCCTGAAGGCTTAATTCTAGAACTCCTTCTTTCCTTTCCACTGTGCACTCTAGACCAGGAAGGAGTTAGGGCTAGAAGGGACCTCAAAAATCATTCAGTCCAACACTCTCCTTTTACAAGTGAGAAAACTGAGGCCGAGAGAGATTAATTTTAAATTTAGAATTTCTGGAAAAAGGTCTGCAAAAACTTCCCAGACCTTTCCAAGAAAACTTTGGCAATAGTTAAGCAAGGGATTTCACCAATAAATGCCCAAACTAAATCACCAACAGCTCAGCATAGAAATTGAATTCTGTATAAATATCATGACCAAGCTTGGGCCT